GTGAACTCGACGCCGATGCCGTTGTCGTCGCAGAAGCGCCGGAAGTCGCCGCGGGTCCACTCGGTGCCGTTGTCGACACGGAAACACTCGATGCGCCCGAGATCGTACCGCCCCACGTCCGCCAGCAGCCGTTTCGCTGCCGCCAGCGCGTCGGACTTCCGCCGGAGACCGTTGACCTTGTTTCACCGCGAGGCGCTGTCCACGGCGACGAACATGTAGAGGTTGCCGCCCAGGGAAGGCACCAGCGGTCCACACAGGTCCAGGTGAACACGCCCCAGTGGCTTGGACGCCCGCGCTCCCGGCCCCCGCGGCACCGACCCTCGCCTGCCCTTCGCCTTCATGCAGTCCGTGCACGGTTCCAGCTTGCCGGTGAGCACCATGCCTCTCTGCTGGGCAGTTTTCTCTCAAAAGAGGCTCGCAAGCGTGGGCAAGGGAGCGGTGGAAGCGGTTGATGTCAACGGACTTTTCAGTCGAACCAAGAGCAAACGGGGACGCACCAGGGCCAAGCGCGGCCGCACCCAAGTCAAAATCAGCACCCCCATCAATGCTATCCAAAACACCAGCCACATTCGTAGCGTCACTCTCTGGGATAAACACGGGGAAAAAATCTTGNACCCCATCAATGCTATCCAAAACACCAGCCACATTCGCAGCGTCAGTCTCTGGGATAAACATGGGGAAAAATCCTTGATACGGGGTGTCATCATAGCCATCCATGAGCTGTTCGTCGGTGAGCACGCTCGTATCTCTAAGATCCATACCCGGAAAAGTACCCACGCACACAAACTCGGACGCCGACGAAGGTACTACGTCGGCAGAGCCGGCGGGCGGGACGCTCTCACTCGCAGGTACTACACTGGTGGGACCAGTGGGCGGGACGCTATCAGCCGAAGGTACTACGCTAGCTGAGCCAGCGGGAGGAATACGCAACATGGACACCAATGATTTCGCTGAGCCCCCCTTTTGGGAAGGGGGACGCGCGGAGCCAACGGCGGGGGCGGAATCGCGGGCAGTCACGAATGCGGGCAAAGCAGCAGGGTCTACAATAGTCGCAGATGGGTCGTACGGCAACCGCATGGCATACGCTGCAGACGCTTTTTCCTCTCTAGCAAAGAGCAGTCTGTTTTGTAGGGTTGCGCCACGTTCGTCGTAGAGGATTTGTTGCTTCAAAGAAACAGCATGCGTTGAGAACAAGTTGAAGCTCAGGCTCTCTACAACAGACACGTCAGTGAGCTTCACACACATCGTCGTTTTCTCACCATTCTCATCCTCCTGAAAGAAATTAATACTACCGATGGCTTGCACTTCTAACAGTCGACCATCACCTACAACGACATACTTCCTACTGGTGGGGATCTCTTGCAGGTCATACATGTGTACGCTGCTGTTGGTGAAACTGTTGCTGGCTCCTGAGTCAGCTACCCATCTCT